GGTAGCTATTCGGGAAGAAATACGCGGCGCTTTTTCGGGGGAATCGTTGGAGTACTAGAGACTGGTAAGATATCGGTTGATGGCCAAGAAGCGTAGTGCTGAAGGGAAGGATTTAGAACGAGGCCGAACGCTGAAAATCGTTTGATTGTACATCTTAGGTGCCAGATACAAGCCTTGCATCTAATTTGACTTGACATGGCTAGGTTATCCCGAAAGACCCAATACTATCGACATGACCAATGAAAAGGGAACGAGGAAACCCGTGGAAAAATAACACAATTTCTGCGTCGGATGCCCTGCGCTTCGCCTGGACCCTCTGATATTATCCATCAGGAGACCAATTTCAAGGTCAACACCTTAATTTGCGCCAAGTATTGCTGTAATTACCCAAGTCATCTCATCACACCTCAATCCATCAAAGCAGGTGTAGTGTGTCCTGTTCTTAAAGTGTCATTAGCGCTATTCGTAATCTTGATCTTGGCACCAACAAAGATCTCATGGCCGGAAGGCCCTGGAAAATATCAGTCCGAGCATGCCCGCGAGAAATTTCTTCCCTCTATCGTTCTACATCCCAGTTGCCTGTTCTCCCTAGAGTTTTATAGCCCAATTATGCAACTGATGACGGGCTTCGTACATCCTCACTTAATATCTCCTTGTGGGTACAGGTAGCGTCGTAAATTTGTAGTGAAGGATGGCTGATAATTAACCAGGCAAACTCCCGTGTATAGCTGAAAAATCTCCATCAATGGTCGTTGATACGAGGTGATGTATGGTTAGAGAGTAGTTGGGAACTCATCTAAAAAGACCTCGAACACATATATGTTTGGTTTGCCTTCGACTTGGATCGTTTGAGATTCTTATTACCTATCCCACATTTGCAGAGCTAACTGAGCGACTAACCCGGCACCGCTGGAAGGTGAAGAATTCGACTTTACCAGCTCTACAACTTCTTTCGGTTGTAGTTGAGAGCGTAGCATCACATTACAATAAACGCCTCACCATAGAAAAAGATGCACATGAGCCGTAGGATATGATTGGCCTATATAATCAAATACTCCGTCATGTCAATCTTTCACTCCTCTCTTAGGGCTTGATCCTCAGGATCAACTAACATATAGTTGTAATATTTATATTGAAAATTAACCTATAAGTTAAGGGACTGGTTAGATAGATCCTTAAGTAGTCTTTCTTGGTCTAGGACTCAGGATAGACATAAATTTAAATCAATCTATCTTTCTTTCCCAACGAGATTGATTCCAATCTAAGACTCATCAAGTCTTCAGATACAACCTAGTATATCCTCATTTCAATGACCACACCTCTCATCGAATTTCTCTGGCCTCAACTGGTGACCAAATACACGCCCAAGCTAATATTTATGCCCGCCCGAGGGGGGAAAGCGTGGTACACAAAGCTGGGAGACAGTCCTTTGGAACGGACGAAGATAAATCAGCACAAGTTTACAGCATGATGCAAAGAAAGGATGTTAGTGTGAACGGTTAAAGCAGACGGTCAGCGCACGCAAGCAACACCATAAATTAATATTCTTCGGTGGGTGTCGAATAATAGGACACAAGTTTTATTTGGATGTGCATAAGGCAAGGATGCTGAAGTCTGGGCGATAATGATGATTATGAAGATGTGACAACAAATGGGTAATAATTAGTAATGGCTGTGTAAGCATATATCATGTGGCGAGTGTTCAAGGTCATTAAGGCCCTGGCGCTCCGTCACAAATGAAGATAGATACGAATGAATGAAACTATTTTTATTGAGTTACCTCAGACAAAGAATCTATAGCAGATATTCCGACAGTGGGAGAGATAATTACAACTGGGTCGTGCGTACAAAAAGTGTGCCCTACCGATCATCTTACATAAGCACTACTGAGAGAACTTGTTCTGTGCGAAAGGCCCAGTCTTTCGCCAAGTCCGCATTATATACAAGGCTGAGCACGCAGACCAGCCCAGACGACCAGTAGCGGGTAAACCCGTAACGGTTGGTACAATACGCCAGACATGCGTAAACGAAAAGTCATTAGAATATATTCCTGTATGGCAGCTAACATTATCAGAGACGAAAAGACCGGGGAGACAAGAATGAACTTCAGAGGAACACCTAACAGTATCCACAAAACCTTCACAGGGCCCAAAGTAGCATAGCCATGCAGATAAGAAGTGAGCACATTGGCTTTAACTCTTATCTACACAGAAGACATGTTCCCGGAGTAGACAGCTCACGATGCCATTGTGGATATCCGTCCCAGAACGTCAAGCATATGATCATGGCTTGCTCCAACTGGGCCAAAGGAGGAGGGGAGATACTGAGAAAGGCAGAGTCTCGGTAATTTGAGGCCATGATGAACAACCCGAAATGTGTGGCAGGGATTACAAAGTGGATTCAACATGAAGATGGCTAAGTTTCGACTGACGCTTGAAGTCGAGGCCAGGATGAGGGAGAGAGGAGAGCAGGGGAAATTTGATCTCCTGCTAGTAGCAATAAAGTTGACGGTATCCGCACTGGACATAACAGTGTTCGTGCATTTCTCCAAGGTAACACAGAATCAAGGTGTAAATGGATTGAAAAGTTGAGGCGGTTTTTACCATAAAGGTTTCCTCCTTTGTAAATATTAGAGTTCGTAGACACCTGCATGGGCCTTGAGGCGCCAAATCGGGATAAATGAAAACAAATTCAAATAGAATATATTCAAAATAGCGATAAAATAACAATAATAAATGATTACATTCATTCATCTACCCATTCTAAATTGTTTCGTGTCTCATGGAAAAATAACAAGGAAATATTACGTTAGAGACCATTGTTCCAGCATAGGATACAATCTAGGCGAGTTCGAGATTTGGAATTTTTGCGAGGAGATTTACATGTTGAAGATTATTGTGCGCGCTAAGCCTTCGAATACGAGGGAGCAGTTGACACTGTAAGCACAAGTCAACGATAGAAGGTGCCGTGGTCCGCCTCCTGGTGGTGTTCTCCGGTACAGTTTGAGTAGCCTGGGCACCTACTCCACCTGGGAAAGAGACACATCAGATCATATTTCGCGCGGAGAAAAGTAAATGAATGACGGAGGCATGTCTGGATAACTAAGGGTTTTTGAGACGTTTCCCTGGGTGGGTACTCACGTATTAGGGCTGACTTGGGGTGAAGAAAAAGCCGGCATGACTTCGCAATGGTGCTTGCAAATGAAATCCGAGGCATGAGTGATCTTCTTATATATCGAGTCATCGTTTCTGTGCCTCTTCTCTGATATTGTGTCATAGCTAGATAGCTGCATACGCTATTAAAATCTGACGCAAAAAAGAAATAGGTGTTCAGTTTTCGTCCCCTAACAGAATTAAAAAAAATGTAACCAAAGTCTAGGGCTATGGAGGAAGGCTAAAACTATCGTGCAAGCTTTAATTGAGTGGTGTAAAACTTAGAGAGGTCTTCGTGCGAATGTCACGTGAATCGTCAAAAGGTAGAAGCGAATACAAGAATGAATTGATTAATTAACTCCGTGCTACGAGTCCATCGTAGCACTATAATATCTAGTTCTACCCTATTGATGCCCCTGATCATCATTACTAGTCTGACATGCCTGCACGCAGATCGTGCTTTCGCTTTTGGACTGGATCCAGACTTATGCAAGCACAAGTCTGCTTACAAGTGGTAATTTTTGTATTCATTCGCTTCCATAAATTATGATAGATACTGAGGGCCATACCCTGATTGGTCCCCATCAGTCAAGGTTATCCGTGGCACAGTCTGGGACTTGACGCATTTCCTTGACAACTACTATCTTGATTGAACCCTTACCTTTGGAGATGGCACTGCGAAATTTAAAAACTACCATGTTTCCACAATTTCAGGCTGAGCGACCGAGATAGTTTGGTGGCTGAAAGTCTGTTTGTTACTGTTTCGGACATAGTATACTGGCCGCTCGTGCTTTTGAAATGTGCCTGCATAAATTTCCGAAACATAGATAGCTTTAGCCGGCAAGGTATGTTCGTTCATGGCGCGACACAGCTGCTCGTGCATAAAAATATGTAAAGGTATATGACATCAGAATATATGAACGATCGACAAGAGGAGGACCTTAACAAAGTGCTATGGATCGTGGATTAGAGTTAGGCAGATAGTCCGAAATAAAGTCTTTGTTTCTTTCCACACAAGAGAGTCTTTCCAAAAGTGGCTATAGCGGTGGTTTACCACCCAGGCACAAATAACGGATCGCTTCGTTAAAAGCACGCGAAGTCGATATTGTCATGTCAGAGATGCATTTTACACGGCATACGATGAGGTATTTGGAAGCACGTGGGCCAAAAAAGTTGGTTTTTACTATATTCTATTCAATTCACTAGATTAAAGGTGGTAGCTTTCAAAATGCATGCGTGATTGCTAGCTTGACAGATTTCTTACCAGATCATTTTACCGCTATTATCACTCTTCTTACGTCAACTATAGTATCATAGGATTGAGGGTGAGTGCACAGTGACTGTAGTATCAGAACTTGAGACGCTGACATTACAGTCAGGTTCTCTTTGCGTCAATGTGGGACCTATTCTTTGATTCCCTACATTATGATTAGTGAGAAACTATAATTTACTACAATGACGTCATTGTATTTCATGTATGCTAATCACCCTTGTTAGGGCAGAATACACGTTCAGCTAGCAGTGGAGTAGCAGCTAGGCGACTATTCTTGCCGTGACAAATACTCTTTCCATCCATCTTGGTAACATTGAGCACGAGAGACATGCACATGCAACGTTATAACATAAGCTCCATGAGGACTTTATCTCATCTAGCCACTTGAATTGTCCAAAAGTCACTTTAGCAAATAGTTCATATGCCTAGATAGTTTGACATTCTAGACTTATTTTGAGACGTTCTGTAATTTTAAGTGAAGTCAAGTACAGTTTGTGTTTCTATACTTTCATCAGTCACTTATGGCTGGTATATTTGTATTTTTACCGCAGTCATTAGACCTGATGAGTGTGACATCACCTCCTACCGAATTTTAGTCCATTGCTCCATTTTCTTATAAGACTAGGCCTTTTCTTATCACATTTCCTTTCATTCAAGAAGCCCACATTTCTCACGCCATCATTGTCGTCGCCTTCGTCTGGGAGAGCTAATCGATATCTCCTTACGCTACCCTCTCTCTTGCATTCATTTTCTCTCCTCCAGAACTTGGTCCTTTGAGCTTTTGCAGGGAGTATGCAATCAGGAACGAGCCGTACTAAAAATCCACGCACGCCAGAAGATGCTGCATCTATCGCGGCGTATTCGAGGCGACGAGAGCTATTGGAAGTCCAATAGTGAGTAGTTGAAGGGGGCGGTGGTGGAGGCGGAGGAGTGGAGCAGCCTAGGCGGTCTGGGGTTATTTCTATCGGTGCAAATGATGGAAAATAAAAGAACTGATTTTGTTGTTGCGTGTGAGAGGGCATGGTGTGACGGATAGAAATATTTGGTGGAGAGTTGTAGAGACGTGGATTGTGGCACTGCAGGTGAGAATGAGAACGAGCACGATGTGTACGTGTGGGCAAGTTTCGAGGGGACTGAATACTAGTCCGCGATGACTTAGGCCGATGATCTCGTGTGGATCTGGTGGATCTAGCCGAAGTTTTAGTTACGGCCCGAGAGAGAGACAAATTTGTGGCGGTTGCATATCCAGAGTCACAACGTTTCATCGACAACGTTAAGCCTGGACTAAGCTTTTGAGATCCCGTTGTGGTCCCTCCAGCTCGCATTAACGTATGATTCAGCATGAGAGGTTCTGGACTAGAATGTATTAGGAATCGGTTATCATTTGATGAATTTGCGATTGCGGGTAAATCATGGGTTGAATAGAAAGCGACTGTCTTTGAAACATTTGAAATATTAGACTGTGGATGGTCCATCCATTGAGTTGTCAAGAGGGAGTGATGGGTTGTTTGACTTTGAATCATTGTATTTTTCTCGGCAATCTTGATGGCTCAGCTTTTCGAATAGTATAAATATTCTGTATGAAGCCCACAGCTAGGGATATGAACAATTTTCCGCATATCTTATCCGAACGTGTAACTATGCCGTCCCCTCAACGTACGTGTATGAGGGGTGAAGATGTGGGCCGAGAGACGATAGTGAGCGCTCATTCCCCGACTCTGGTTGACACAACCATATTTTCTAAAGTTCAAAATAATTTTAGAAAGAATGCATGTGTTGGATCAGTGGGATGTCTAGAGCATCATATAGCCCTCTGAGCAGTGGGTCGATGTTGCTGACCGCCAATCATGCGTATGTAATGCAAGCAAATGCACAGCCTATTCAGGGATGAGAGCGGACGGGACCAAAGATCCAGCCGAATGTTGAGAAGGGATGGCTAGGGAAGTCTGCTACAATTCTGCGATGGATGAGTCGTGGAACCTGATTAAGACTCGATTGGTCATGAGCGGATCTGTAAATGGTAAAGTAAAGACTGACGGGGATACCGAGAGAAGTCGAGACGCTCAAATCGACTCGGAAACCGTATATTCGCCTGTGTGGATGTGAGGTAGGGAAAGAGGGATTGAACATTTAGTCCATAAACTGCAGGGAATAATTATAAGTTCGTCATTCATTTTCCATCGCTTCGGCTCTGTGCCTGGCAGGTATTGCTTCCCCCCTTGCAACCTAGACCGTCAATCATCTCTTCGTTAGGGTGTCCGCATTGCCAGACTTCCGCAGCAATTGGCATGATTCCTGCACCTGCTAGTTGCTCGGTCAACTGGGACCAAGGCAGGTGGTTGTTAGAAGGCTAAAATAGGCACAGCCTGATACCCTGCCTTGCACGCGGCTCTGACAGTCGCCCACGGTCCAAGGGAGACGTGCAAAATGCTGAGTATGTGATGATCTAACTTGTCATGACTACGTGACATACGATAGACGTGATTAATTCTCCTCGATTTTTTGGTGTGGCACCTGTAATGGTGGAAATTATCTACCTATAATCTCTGCTTAGGATGAAGCTGCAGCTCCAAGGATTAATACCCCATGTTGAGGGTCTAAATCGATATGAATACAGACCAGAGCGATAATGATCTCGGCGTGAAATAGATGGCGATAAGCTACTCACGCACAATCAAAGGAAAACGATAAATAAATTGGCGCCAGGTGTAATAATTCCGGCAACGGCACGAGGGTCAAGTCTGGCGTTTCGCTCAGCCAGGTTTCAGGGTAATTACAAGGCGTCTAGATTCCGATAATTTCCTCTTCAGTAGTCAATATTTTGACAGGACTGTGTCATTTGCTGATAGCTTTTTTCACATTTCTTTTTCACCTAAGCTTATTTTTGGGCGACTTATCGACCTGTTCCCTAATCGCAACCTGTCTGATGCCACACTCGCTTAATTCAAGGCGGCTCCGAGTGCTTCACGATATATCATGTGAGTGATTCACAGTGCAAAAGCTTAGTCTCACTACCAGTCTGGAAGTCTGGACAATACGTATAAATGCCTAGAGCGCAATTTAGATGCTGTAGTAACCGGGAATAGATGAATGTGGAGACAAAGCCACGCAGCCGATGAAAACTCGAGCGTGCTTACGTTATCTATATGCTATCCAAGTGCCGTATCTCCCCACTTTCCAAATTATCCGGCTCCCCGTACGGGTCACATGACTGGAAGCACAGACTCCCGCTTCGACGCAGACATTGGGAGTCAAGTTATATAGCCCGATTGAACTTTCAACCTGGCTCCCATGCGAGGCTCGATATCTGCAACATCTGGTCTGGGTGCACGGACTACACGATCTACGAAAGCGCGTGCATGCCTCAAATTCAGCCGATCTCACCCGCATTTGTTGTACCTCTTTCATGGTGAAGTGCGATGGTAGCTGTTATAGCTCCACAAAAATTTGGCGCCCGTTACCGGCTGCTCTGACAAGATCCCACTGCAAGGAAGGAAACGAGAACTCAATTCAAACCAGAGACACGGCCTGCTTATTCCCCCTTGTGTCTCCGGGCCAAGATCTCTTACTCACCTATGCTTCGATTCCAGCGGACTAAAATTTTCGTGTGGTAAGCAAATAAGCCGACGTAGCTGGCTCTCATGCTAGACTTCTGCGCAGCCAGACCGAGAAGAAGATACGGGAAGGACCCGAATCAGGGATATCGAGCACGAATGCCTCTGCTGCAATTGTTTCTCTGCAATGCTCTTCGGTTTTTATCATGTCGTATATACCAATCAATCAGTTATAATTGATGAATAGCCAAGGGCATTCAATCCATTCCTGGCAAGCAATAGAATATTAACGGTCCTCAATAAATACATGATGTCAAGGGAATAGAATTGGCAAGATCCGGATAAGAAAATAGATTTGGCGAGAGATCAGAGAGTCTCTTGTCGGCCTCATGAGTCATAAGTATGAAACAGTAATCAGGACATATTGGTTTTAGGTATCACAATCATCTCATCTATTCGAGTCTCGGGTAAGGGTGACCCGGGGCTGAAAACTAGACTACTCCAAGTGGTTAGCTTTCTGATGTACAAATTTCAACAGTGCCGGTATATCCACAAGACGAAAGAGTTTCCCAATGATAGACATAGATAACCAAGGATATATGACGAGATTTGTCGGAAAATTCTGGGAAATGACACAATGGAATTCAGATCAATAGGTTAAGCGACTATTATTTTAGAATTACCTTTCATTCTCCCGTATATGGGAAGTAAGATAGCCCTACAAATCTTACTAAATGACGTCAGTGTTATGAAGCTACAGAGCAAAATGTGTCAACCATAAACTTTCTGGCCAGGAAAACCCTAGACGAGTGAGCACGCCTTACTTTCCTTGGGATTGTCCACAAAAGATCTTCATAATCACTTCGCCTCTACCAAACTTGGGGCGAAAGCATTTTTGCAGCACCTAAAAGTATGCAAAATGAGTAGCAGAAAAGAATTCTATTGACGGTTTGAAGATGAAGATTAATGACCTATCAACTTTATTTTCTTCGAATCTGAGAGTGAAATATATTCATATTCTCGAGTTTGGTCAGGTTTCGCAATAATAAGCAAGTTGGCCAACTGGGAAATGATCCAAAGCTCTTTGCCATATCAGACTTTCACTCACAACAGGATCGATACTGACCTAAGCCTCATCACGTCTTTAAGTCCAGCCTATTACATCGTGATTCCTATGACTAGAGGCCTCGCTTTCTTTGTTCTAGGCCTCAGTAGGCTTCCATATACACGCCCACAACAGTATCAATACTTGATAGAAGAGACAAATCGTACCGCAAAAATCTAGCGAGGCAGATATTTGGGCTAGAGCTTACAAGAAACCGGACAAATTGAACGAATGATGTTCAGGATGGATTCAATGTTGACGGGGGCAAATCTCGATTCAGGGGGAAAGTTTTTGCAATAAAGAGTATCCAGTCAATTGGCAACACTTTAAGTAGTTTTATGGTTGATTAGTGCAGTAGTACATGATCCGGGTTATTCTTTCAAGCAGAGTTTCAATAGCTAGGACACATATCACACTTTAAAGTGGAGATAGTAGGTTCGAATCTTACAGGACTCGGTCACACATTTCGCGCTGCTCGTACGTATATGTGACGATGGAATGCTTGGATACTCAAAAGTTAAGAAAGTTCCAGTTAATGACTAATTACCGACGAGACTCGATTGCTATCATGGTTTTTCAAGGGATGGGTTAGGAGTTGGCTTGATAAATTATCCGAATCGTATATGTAGATTGAAAAAAGATCACACAACTAGTGCAAAATTAATCAAGTTTATGCACAATAATTTTTTTTAAATCATTTAATGTGTATTCAGCTATCTAGCTAAGACACATGACCGGTGCTATGTATACATGTGGGATGACTCTTTTGACGTTGAAAACGCTCATACTCTGGATTTCATTCGCAAATACCACTATCAGGTATGTTCGCTTACACAAACAGTCGACTCTCCTCCGTAAGTACCCACCAAAGAGAATATAAAGCCCTTTGGTTATCCAAGCATGCCTTCGTCATCCATGCATACCAGCGCCACGAGAAAAGTGGTTGTGTTTTGCTGGATTTGAACCAGCAATCTACTCTCTCGAGTGGGATATGTATCCAAGCTATCCAGACTCTACATTGGAGACCGGCCAAGACGATGTATCACCGCACCATCCAACCATGGCAGTTTTTATAGTATCGCCTGCACTCTCGCAGCCGAAGACTTGGCATGCACAAAGCTCAATTTGTAAAAACTCCTTTCTAGAACTCAAAATTCCACGCCCGTCGAGACTGTATCCACTCTTCCCATCAGCTTGTGAACCTGTTCTGTTCCCTCTCACGTCCATCTCAAAAAACAGTCCCCCAGATTTGTGCGCCACGCTTTGCTTCCTCCGTCGGATGTAAATATCGGCGTGGGCGTGTATCTGGCGACCAGCTAAGGCCGGGGAAAGTCGAAAAGAGGTGTGGTCATTGGAATGAGGATGTACTAGGTCGTACTTGTAGGCTTTATGAGGCTTAGGTAGGATTCGACCTCTTCGGGAGTGAAAATTTGACGTGGTGGAGTTATTTGAATCATTGCCTCGTGGGCCAACTTGTTCGGTATTGCGAAATTTGACTGAACTTGGCTCTGGGAGGGTATTTCACTCTCAGGTTCGTAGAGGACACCGCGCACAGGTGTTCAGTCTTGCCCTCCCTGACACATGACCGTGCTACTGTATTAGGAAAGGGTGGAAAATGCAGGCTGGTGCACAGACGCTGTTCATGTACTCTATAATCTTTCACCTGCTGAGTATAGTGAATCAATCTATCAAAATAATATCATACTCCACATTATCCATTAGATGATATTATCAATCGTCGGGATGCTCATCTAGCATCACCTTCATAGATCACCATTGTCAGTAAGAGTTCACATTTGATACCTACTGACACCCATTTGACCACAGTGATACGCACTCAGTGTCCATCACCCTGCGTGAGCGCGCCATCTCCGCGACTCACCATTGCACATGAGCCCGTGCCACTCCACCGACGGACAGCAGAGTCATAATTGCCATACACCTCACAGCTCCCAGCCACAACACAATCGCTTCCGCGGCCTCTATCGCCTTCATCTCTCAACACATTCCCCTATCACTATTATCATGAAGCTAACCACGATCTGATCAAATGGTAGGATCAAAGCTCTTCTTATCACCAACCCTTAATCATGGAGGAAAAGTTATCCGATGAGTCGCTGGAATGTACCTAGCACCCGATGCGGCCATGGTGGATTGGATCAAGTCGGCCTCTAACGTTACAATGAAAGGAGATGTAGATGGATGTACACACCTAGTATGGCTGATCCTACACGTGTTTTGAGACTTTTCCCGCTCACGCAGCTTCCATCGCTACCTTTTTTTACTTTCTGAGGAGAAGGTTCCGTGAAAAAGGTGGCTGAATTCCATGGGTAAACACTGAGCTGAATGGCTATCCATCACGAGTAATATCTCAATGATCTTTGAAGTGACAAAAGAGCATAAGATGTTAGAAATTGTCAAGGTTTTCTAGGAGGAAATATCTCGAAGAACAAGTGTACAATTTCGGATAAGAATTTATTGATAGTTGTATGTGATATCGAACTCTCTTCTCAATATGAATTAATAATTTATAATACTCCGTTGACTTATTTTTACATATACAGATGAGTCTGTCCTTAAATACAGATCCTGAACTCCCAGTGATCTAGCAACAACCAGCCACTCAATTATCGCAAGGTAGCATTTCCTAGCCACTGCATTCCAGATGCCACTGAATCTTATTTCGTCCAACTGAGCTTAATCGTATTCAATTGAATCAACTCAATTGATCTTGATGATCATACCTAGAAATCTAAGCCTTCATACATGCTGAGTCTAGATTTGCAACATAAGAGCACTGTACAAGCTGTGGCCTAGGTCAGAGAAGAGTCCAGTGTGTTAGTCATAGACTCGAGTAGCACAATAAAGCCAAGGCAAACCATTTTCCACGCACAACATAGGGGAAATTTTGCACACAAAAAGATATTCCAACAAGAGTGTAGGCGATATTATAACCACCGCCGTGGTCAGACGCTGCGGTGGTATATCATCTTGGCCGGTCTCCAATGTAGAGTCTGGATAGCTTGGACACATATCCCACTCGAGAGAGTAGATTGCTAGTTCAAATCCGGCAAAACACAACCATATTCCCCGCGGCGCTGGTATATATGGATTACGAAGGCATGCTTGGATAATCAAAGGTTTTGAAACGTTCCTTTGGGGAGTACTTACGGAGGAGGGTTGACTGTTTGTGTAAGCGAACATACCTGATAGTGGTATTTGCGAATGAAATCCAGAGTATGAGCGTTTTCAACGTCAAAAGAGTCATCCCACATGTATACATAGCACCGGTCATGTGTCATAGCTAGATAGCTGAATACACATTAAATGATTTTTTTTAAAATAAAATAAAAATGTTCCAACATATTTCTTGGCCTAGCTGAGAAAGAAGTATTTCGGAGATCCTACAGCCAATAGATGCCTCCCGGAATCTATCGTGAAATACCTGTTAATCATAACAATCAGTAATAATATGTAAGAATATTACATCACGTCTCACGGCGCATGTGCTCGCTATCCTGATGTAAACAGTTTCTTGTAATACAGGAAGGTATTTTCCGTGACTAAAACAAACTCTCCCGTCTCGAGTAGGATGTGCGTCTAAGCTATCCGGGCTCTGAACGGAAGGCCGACCGGGTGGTCTACCACCACACTATTGAGCCACGGCAGTGTTTACAACGTCGCTCACACCCCCGCCACCAAACTCGAGAGGCGCACAATGATTAATTTGAAAAATGCCTTGCAAAAAATCTAAATCAAAACCCGTTGTAAAATTGCAGCCAACCTTAGTATCATTTTGTTGAGGTTCCTCTCTCCTTCAGCCCCGAGATATGCTTCTCATATTTGAGCGTAGAAATTCGTCACCTCTTGGTATGAATCATTGCCTCGCGGGCCAACTTCTCCAATGATGCCAAACTCTATGGAACATGGCTCTGGGAGAAGATTTCTCTCTCAGGTTCGTAAACGACACTGCGTACATGTTTTCAGGCTTGCCCTCTTCTTGAACTGCTTTGTCGAGCCTTGCCAGCGAGTGGATCTCGAAGCTGCAGTTGCGAGAATTTTAGTTGAGGATGTGATCACTCAGGACTCATGGTACCATATTCAGGGGTAAATCAGTTCCAAAGTGTAATTTAGGCCGTCGTCTATCGACCACCACGCTCTACGTATTTCATATTTTACTACCCTTGTATAGCAGCCCTGTAATTGTCTTCCAACGGTCAGAGATCAACTTTATCTAGTCCCCAGCTCCTGGTTATCTGAGTTCTTGGATGCTCAGGGCCGCGCTAGATTTAGCGCCCATTCTTGGCAACGGACTCCGCCGCCGCCAGCTCCGGCCAATTCATGACGCAAGACACGCTGCACGGCTTAACATGGCCAGACAGGAACTATCCAGGAATGGCTAGACTACAAGATGGCTGGATGCATGGAGGTGGGGTAAGTCATAGCGCTGGTGGCCGGCAGCTTATCGGCGATACTAGAAATGCACGGGCTATCAGACCTACACCCCGCACCAAGCAGAAAGCTCTTGCAACAAACCAACTAACAGGAATATGTGGACTGGGCGATGACAAAGTAATTGTCAATGTCGTTTCCAACAAAGTTGTCAGTGAGAATATCATACAGCCGAGACTAATTCATTTTAAAGAATTAATTTGATAGTTTCGGCAGAAAGTCAGTCGGGAACAGTGGCATTGGCATGAATTAGTTCCAACAGTCGACCTCCAAATATTTTACCACGGCTCTGATCCATCAGTTTTAGCCTTCGCTCCAAACTCGAGCTAATGTGATTCGGCTCGTCAAAAAACAAACCATAGATAATTTTGAGAGAGGGAAAGACTGAACAACTGTACGCGGTGTCCTCTACGAACCTGAGAGTGAAATACTCTCCCAGAGCCAAGTTCAGTCAAATTTCGCAATACCGAACAAGTTGGCCCACGAGGCAATGATTCAAATAACTCCACCACGTCAAATTTTCACTCCCGAAGAGGTCGAATACTACCTAAGCCTCATCAAGCCTACAAGTACGACCTAGTACGTCCTTATTCCAATGACCAAACCTCTCATTGACCATTCTCAGGCCTCAGCCGGTCACCAAATACACGCCCACGCCGATATTTATACCCGACAGAGTAATCAAAGCGTGGCGCACAAATCTGGGAGACAGTTCTCTAGGATGGAGGTGAGATGGACCAGGAAAAGTTTACAAGATGATGCAAAAGAAGGATATAACGCCGATGGCCGTGAAATTCTGATATTTGGCAAGAGTTTACGAATTGGACTTTGTGCGCGCTAAGGCTTCACTTGCGAGAGTGCAGCTGACACCATAAAAACAAGCATACGATGGAAGGTGCCGTGGTCCGCCTCCTGGTGGTGTTCTCTGGTAAAGCTTAAGTAGCCTGGGAACCTACTCCACCTGGGAAGAAGACGCCTCAGACCACGTTTCGCGCGGAGAAAATTAAATGGATGATGGAGCCATGTCTGGATAACTCAGGGTTTTTGAGACGTTCCCCTGGGTCGGTATTCACGGATGAGGGTTGACTTGGGGTGAAGAAAAAGCCACCATAACTTCGCAGTGGTACTTGCAAATGAAATCTGAGGCATGAGTGCTCCTCTTGTGAATTGAGTCATGTTTTCTGTAATTTTCTTTAATATTGTGTCATAGCTAGATAGCTGCATACGCAATTAAAATCCGATGCAAAAAGAAGATCATTTTGATGCGCCACGATGCCAACCAGTCAGGATTTTCGACGCATATAAACTTTGGACAAGTTAGCGACATAGCTCAGTAGCAGTGAGTCAACAACGGTGTCTGAGGAGAAGCTTAACGGATCCACGATAAGCTTCCACATCGCTTCTTTTCCAATTCTCACAGATACTACATGCAATTCTTCTCGACCAGCCTAGTTCTGTCATGTTCGGTAATATTTCGCCAGTTATCATACTACAGGAAAATGATGTAGTGGTACATCACTCGAGCTGATCCCGACAGTAAAACCTAGAAATCTTTAACATCCATCATAATTTAGTTAGAAAATTGCTGGTTCAACTTCAGATTGACTAGCTCCCGTTTCCCGCAGCGCTGATGTAGGTGGATGACGAAGGCTGGCTCTAACAATCAATATATTTGAATATGTTAGAAACTAGAATAATTGGGGCTATCAAGTAGGCCATGGGGTTGATATACACGTGACTACGAATTCTGTACTTAGTTTCACTTCGGTAGTGACTTGAATCAATGCGCTCTACAACCTCAATGACTGAGGGGTCATTATTTCCTTAATAGAATCATAAATAGTATTCACGTTCAAGGATCACCTGCCCTAGGAAAAGTAGTTTGCATCAGCGCTATTTGCGAATGACACCCAAGGTATGGGTTTCTCTGAAATCAAAAGGGCTAACCAGAATTACGCAAAGCACTGATCGAGTGCCAATGTTCGGCAGCTGTATACACGATTAATGATAAAAATCATTGAGTGCCGGCTTCCCAAACTACCGATATGGGGGTCAAATTCGAAAAGCGATATACCATTTTGAAGAATTTGGAGAGGTAAGCCGTGTGACTTTGCAAACTTGCAAGTGCCTTAAAGAATTACCCTCTGAAAATCTACCATCATTCTTGTCTTATAAAAATATGGGGTTGTGTGATGTGTATAATTCAGTGCAAGGCAATTACCGTTCTCCACACTCCAATAAGAGCTTGAGCATGGGTGAGGTCGGTCTGAGATAAATAATCTACCATCAACTACTTGAAATCCGTCCCACATCGGACTTCATCATGTATCGCTCTTAATCGAGTACGAACATCCAGTGAACCTGGATTTAACATGCAAAAGCGCATATTCCCTCTCGAACTCGAGCAAAACGCTCCCGAACCCTTGACACCTTAATATTATTCATTTTCTCCCTTCTGTTCAGTCCTAGCTTCAACATATCCCAGCATCTTTTTATCTTGTCCAGGGGGGTTATTTTCTTCATTGAAGGCCTGATCAAGTTGCCAACCGAGACCTCATATATGTTTTCCCTTTTGCCTTCAATATAGTATTTCCTTGTTGTGCCTGCCGATTTTTCTATCTCAGAAACTCCAAATATGTCCAGCCATAGGCCTTACCCCATCACTGCCGTATCCCTAACCCTAGAAGCCAAATATGCAAACAGGAGCTCTGGAACAAGATCGATGCATTTTAACAATTTAAGAGCATCTTTCTAACGAGCTTTAGCAAGCTCGATATAGCTCTGAGGAAAACATATGACTGGAAAATAGAAGTTCTGGTCATACGTAGAGTGGGTTTCTCTCTTAAGCTTATAAGCGGGGACGATCGAGACCACTGGCGCACTATTATGGGCTGTCAAGTGTAGCCGAGACCAATGACTTTATTTGATAGTTAAAACGTGTTAGGCACAAACTCTGCAACTAATGGGCACAGTAAGAGCCATCGACCAAGCTTCAGTCTTCGGAAATCGCGTGGCCCTACCAGCCTACGACAACATGCCGATCATAGCTCTGAGAAGGGAGACCAGCATTCCACCAGCTCATATTCTGCTCGAGGAATATGGACTCAAATTCACCGTACGGATCCGAAAACTAGATGATTACCATCCACTTCGACTTCGGGCCACGGAAAGCACAGACAGCGGTTCCCACAGTCCTGGAATAAAGACGTGTTACAAAAGCAGATTTGGTCTCGACTATTGTAATCTAACGCTTTTCATCCTCGGACTTCATGGTGAGCAGTAGTTGTATAGCACGTGATGCCATGCGGGGGAGAAGGGACAGGATGGCGAAAGCCGCTAGCCAGATCTAAGCGATGTGGCCCACTTGTAGATGGAGAAATCCCTTTAGTGGCTAGACAATACAATCCTAACTAGTACAACAACAATAGTAAGGAACTCATACATCCGCACCTCAGTTATCTCATACATCGTGACCCATAAACCTCACTCTCATATCTATCACTAAACGACGAAGCTTCAATATCGACAAAGTTCACGATTCAAAGGTCCAGAGGATGCACTGTCTCTTGCCCGAGGTGGAACTGCCTCTACTTTTACGGCCCCCGGTACTCCCTCAGCCGAAACCTTGCTGGACAATCTACATAGAAGCGGCTAAGCTCACAAGATAGAGGCTATCTATCACCCCACCCGACTATCTCTGTGCTTACAGCGATGTTTTCGGAGCGTCCACCGACAGAGTTTCATGGGATTTTGCGACCTTTGTCAGTAGCATTGGCACAGTTATTGAAAAAAGAGTTCAGGCAAATGCCGATGGACTGGTGGCACTCAAACTGTTACGGGCTAGGCCCGGCTGGGTTCTGGCTGGGTTGTTTAAGGCTATAGGGCCCATCCTTATCTTGAAGGCTCAAGCGAGTTTGTAAATCTTCTCACTATACGGGAGTATTATCAGATCACTTGTAAAGGGCAAAGGTATCTAAAACAGGCATTGTAGTTATAAAGAGCCGTAGCTTCCCGCTCGTAATTTCCTCATAGAAGATATAAACATTTAATTGTGGCATTGCTTTCGTGCATTGGCCGAAAGTCCTAGCCCGTCACACACACTATCCCATGGGCTCCGCCGACCTCGAACTCGTGTTGAGGCATAAGAAGCCACCAGAACTAGAGCTCTCGAGAACGGTCTACGATTGCCTGATCGCCGCCCGAACTGGGCATGGTAACTTCGCGACATACCACTGTTGCTTCAGCTATATGACCACCACACTGAATTGCAAATATGTGTAAGGGTTGTAACATAGATTTTATTCACGAGCCCTCTAGATCTAAGTACAAAAGAGAATTTAACGCTGAAGAGGAAATTAATGTTACAGGCTAATGCCTTAGTATGACGAAAGTTGGGGGATTGATGAGGTACGTGCTAATGTCTCAACTAGACAACGTTATCCAAATGATGTTTTAGCCTTGTGTTTTAGTGAAACCCCGTGACTAAGACAAGAAACAGACGTGACTACATTAAACATGGAATCTAGTTACAAGTGAATTAAGAGTTACATGTAGTAGTGCATAGACAGAGATCCGGAGGACGAAGGCTGAACACCTGTCAGTGGTGTCCTCTACGAACCTGGGAGCGAAACATTCTCCCAGAGCCGAGATTCAGTCACGAAAAGGGGTGGGATGAATTTTAATTGATGGATTTTCGACTTGAAGGAGTTGCACTCGATATTTTGGTCGAAAAATCAGTCGGCAGAGATTTCACAACCGGAACAACGTCGAACAAAAAGTCATCACCACCAACATACGATTCACGAATGGGCCTAGGTCTATCTGGGGATCGTATTCAAACGTCCGACATCTCTTAAACTCCTTTTATACTTGCGACGAAGCATTTCTCAATCGATCCTACACCTGCGACCTACCTCCATACCCGCCCAATCACCTACCTACACACGCCCTAATGAGGAAAGTCATGATAGAAACGGGATGTGTACAAAGGAGGAAGAAAAGGGAAGATATACCGAGGGGATTACACAAATCCCCAATGACGAAAACAACTCAACGGTACGATATGAAGGTGCAAGGCTAGAGCAACGATGAGACCTTTGACGGCATTTATATTTCGGAGTCAATGAGGATGTCAAGGGCTCGGGCACGTGGTGGCCGAGGCTGAGGAGGAAATCGCGCTACGGCGTGTATACAGCGGGTTTCCG